GTAAGTGTGTGCGTGCAAGATACAATAAATATTGGTCGATCCGTCTCTCCAGAAATTGCAACAACACCAAGTCGTCGCATCTTTACGAGGTAAGTGAGTGACAGAAATGTCGTATTCCTAATTAAATTTCGAGATGTTTTCACTGTCAAAATCTCCGCAGCTTAGTTTTTGCAATTATAAAATAAATAGTCTGTGAGTGAGTGAGTGAGTGAGTGAGAGTAAGAGAGAGAGAGAGAGAGAGAGAAAGAGAGAGAGAGAGTGAGAGAGAGAGAGAGAGAGAGATGTGCGTGTGCAACGCTGCAGCTGATCGCTCAGCTGACCGCCCCGCGTGAGCCGCCGGGCGCCGCGGCGGTGCGCCGCTCCTGTCTGCCTCTTGTACTCGGCCAGTTATTCGCTGACTATTTCTTTGAATAATTCAAAAACTAAGCTTCGGAGAACATTTTGGTAAGAGAAAAATCGTCTTAGAATTTAATCAGGAATACGACATTTCAGGGACACTATACCTATTTTGAATCACCCTGTATACCCTACGGGGACGCGTGTCTCATAGGGAGACAAGGGGAAATGAGAAAACAGGTTGGGTAGTTAAATGAGCAGAAGCATCTTGGAAGGCACTAAATTATATATTTTACCAGAACGGCTATGTACAGTGTAGAGAGAGAGAGAGATGAGAGAGAGGAAGGAACGAATGGGGGGAACTTAGCCCAGTGAGGGCATATCCTTGCTTTCTCGCCGAGGGTTCCTGGGCCGTCGGACGATCCGGACCTTCTGATGCAGGGCCTCTATCCTCACCACGCAGGGACGCGTTTTGGGAGGGGCCTGGCGCGGCTGCAGGGCCCTTAGGTTCAGCTGTGGCCTCTTCGTTGCGTCCGTTCGTGGTGCAGGAGGGGCGCTGCCCAGGCTGGCCGTTGGAGGCCTAGGCGCTGGGGTAATGGGAGGGCGCGGAGCCCACGTCCTGGTCAGGCACGGGTCCGGAGGCCTGTACGGTGGTGGGGGGTGAGGGTGCCCGGGGGCAACCGGAGGGTTCAAGGGAGGAGGAGGAGGATGACACGGGAGCGAGGGTTGCCGGGGCTCGAACGGCTGGTCAAAGATCCTGGGGTCAAAGACCCCAGGGGTCGCGTATGCTCGTGCTAAGCGTCTGAGCTGGACCTTGCGTCCAGCTCGGCGCGATCTGCCCATTTCTGGGAGTGCCTGCGGGAAGCATCTCGGGTTAGCTGGGTTACAAAGCGGGGGAAGTAATGCATGCTGTTAGTCATGATGGTGGCTAACTCTAACTTATTTATTAATTAATTTAAGTCCCTTAAATAGGCACTCAGAGAGAGGTACTTGTTTCAACGTCACGGAGGAGGAAGTGAAATTGAGACTTCATATGTTGTCGTTTTAGTAGAATGCTCAGATGGATTGTTCGATTATAATAATCGATTCAGTGCCGTCATCACTGCATTCTTGGCACTTCTGATTGAAATAATAGTAGTAGGGAGACCCGAGAGTGAGTACTTTGACTGCGGTTAACGTTCATCTGCAAATGGAACGCGTAAGAGGGAAATCAAAAGTAATTACGTAATTACTTTATTGCACCGAACGAAATAACTAAAGTTCATAACAATTAGAACGTAAGATCGGTAAATTCCGCTGTGTGCCCATCTTAGAGCGAGATTCCGTCTGTTCGAGGGGACTCTGTGAAATTGCCCCTAGAACGACTGGGAACTGAGGTTGGTTGAGACGGAGAAGGTCCCCCTTTCTTTTGCGGGGTTCAGACCAGGTGGCTGGTGTTGACGACGTGGAGGAGGTCGGTGAGGACTGACGGCTCAATGCCAGTTCGAGGTAGGGTGGTGATTTCCCGCCGGAGGAACGCCGATGGCGGCGCGCAACCAGAGGTGGAGAACCGGAGGAACGCCGATGGCGGCGCGCAACCAGAGGTGGATAACCGGAGGAACGCCGAGGGCGGCGCGCAACCAGAGGTGGAGAACCGGAGGAACGCCGAGGGCGGCGCGCAACCAGAGGTGGAGAACCGGAGGAACGCCGAGGACGGCGCGCAACCAGGGGTGGA